GTCTAGCACTTTTTTTTTTTTTTCAAACACTGTTCTTCCCCGCCCCATAGTTAAATAACATTTATTCTAATGTAAAAAAAAAAAAAATGTGCCTGTAAAATCCAAGAGTCCACAGCACACACCACTTCTCTCCCCTTTAAAGTTCAGTTTGATACCCTCCTAGGTATTATTGTTAGTAATTGCATTTTACACTTAAATTTATCTTTAACTCATCCAAAGTAGGAAGTCATTTAACAGGCGCTTTAAAGAACAATTTTAATTGATTCCAAAGCCAGTTATGCCTTGCTTTTAGTCTCCCACAGAGCCAGAGTCCCTTTAATCTTCTTTTCGAGCAACTCAATCACCTGCATGAAATCTCTGTTTTTGTTTTGTTGCTATCACAATAAAACGACATCATTCCTCCCTTCCATTCTTCCCTCCAAACCCACCTGCATACCCCTCCCCCTTCAAGCTCATGGCTGTTTTTTTTTTTTTTTTTTACTAATTGTTATTCTATATACATATATACATATATATGTATATATATATGTATATATATACATATATATGTATATATGTATATATATATTCCTAAATGCAATTTAGTCAGTATGTTGATGTTACCAGCAGACGCAATCTCACAGTAAACTCTCATTCTCTGGATCTTACAGTCTTTTCAGCCCCTCTTCCACAATGTTTCCTGATCCTTAGGTGTGGAAGTTGCAAACACTATTCTTTACCAAATAGAATTACCATGTCGTCCAGTTATGCTACTCCTGGATGTATTTCCAAAGGACTCTCTGTCCCATAAGAGACAGTTGTACATCCATGTTTATACTGTTCTATTTGAAATGGCAAGGAAATGCACATCTAGGCTAGGTCCGTTTTGACTTAGATTTAGTCTTTAACCTGTTGGTTATGAAAGCATGCTGTTACTTCACATATTTGTAAACCCCCTAATCATGTCTTATCGATTTCTAGTTTCATCCCATTGTGTAAATGAAAATAATTCTTGTATAACTTGTATCCTTTAAATTTTTTTTAAATTTTATCACCTGGCATAGGACTCGTTCTGGAGAATATTTTGTATAGTTTGTTTTTGTTGTATGAAGTGTTGTATGAAGTGTTGCTGTTAGCTTCAAGCTTGTTTGTGGTGTTGTTCAAGGCTTTATTTTCCTGTTGGTTCTCAATTTGTTATTGAAAGTGAAGTCTTGAAATTGTCAGTAATGATAGCTTTAGTATCCTTAATGTTTCCACCCACTCTCTCAGTCTCTGAGATATCTTAGGGACTGTCATCAGGATCAGGCATGTAATGTTTACGATAGCTTTAGTTTCCTGGTACATTAACCCTGTGTCTTTCTTTTCTTTTGAACAGGATCTCATTCAGTAGCTCAGGCTATTCTTAGTTCATCATGTAGCCCAGGCTAGCAGGTTTGTGGCAACCTTTTTGCTTTAGCCATCCTGCTGGCTCTTATTTTATATCTGTAGCAAGTTTGCCCCGAGCTCTACAGTGTCTGGTTGCATAGCTTACCTTCACCCTCACTTTGAAAAGTTGTCTCATTGCCTTAGAAGCCTTACTCATCAGTCCAACCCCGGGGGATGTGTTAGCTCACTCGCTTGGGCTTTCATGAGAAATTCCTTTATTTTATTGAGAAGTTGTTGTCTGTCCTGAGTCTAAGATTTACTAGAGTCCTTCCTGCTGTTTTCAAGGTCCGTTGTCTTTCAAATATTTGATTGTGGTGCATCTACTCTTGTGTGGCTGTGGGTCCACCCTTCCAGAGTCCACTGGGTTGCTTGGATGTGTCCATGAGTGTGTTCTTCACACTTAGGGAGTTTTGGGCATTCTGTCTTCAAATGATCTTTTGTCTCCTTTACTCTTCTTTCCCTCTTGGTACTTTCACAGCATATGTGTGCACTTGGTTAATGGTGCCATGCTGGTCTTTTTAGGCATTAAATATTGTTGATATTGTGGTGTGGGTTTTTTTTTTTGTATTTTAATATAGATAGTTCACTTTCAAGTTCTCTGATTTTTCTACTAGCTCAAAAATATTTTTCAGTCTTTCTCAAATGTTTATTTCAGCTAATATACTTTAAACTTCGGAGTTCCTATTTAAAACAACAACAACAAAATTTCTATGTCTGTATTCTGTAAAGGCTAAGACTTGTTTTGACAGTTCCCCCAGTCTTCTAGAGACGGCTTCCTTTTGCTCTGGATCTATTTAAAACAGGTCACTTAAGATCTTTAGTAAGCTCAACATGAGGGCTTCCTCAGGAACAGTTTTTATATCTGTCACATACATTACTTACTTATTTAGTTGTATGTCACATGGCTGTTTTTTGAGGAGTAGACATTTTAAATAATGCAATATGGTATCCTAGACAGCCTATCTTTTCCTTCCCTAAGCACATTGCTGCTACTACTTGTTTAGTGGCTTTTATGAGCTGTGTCTGAAAAGTCAGTATTCCTTGTTATATTCGGCCCCTGAAACTCCTGCTCGGCTAGGTGCTCAGTTGATGACTGGATGGAGATTATCTTAGGTGCATTGGAAGAATGCATCTTGGCCTTTACCAACAGGCACTTGGAGCATGCTGGAGCATACTGTCAGCAGAGCGGCAAGCGCACCGTCGGCAGTGGTGGGCAGTTTACAGCTTTTACCTTTCCCTTCATTTCACACTTGGGCAGAGCCCCGAGGGGCCAGGCCCTTTCGGGCCTCTTCTGGCCATGCTGGCAGCTCTGCTAACTGATGAGACCTCCAGGGAGTAATGGGTGAGGTTTGCGAAGTCTCCTGTGGACAGTTTATTCCCCGGCTTTTCCTTTAAAAGTTTGATCAGTTTCAAGGTTGCTTTAGCTATTGTTCTTGGAAAAATTTCCATGTACAGTGTATCTTGTATACAGTGTATCCTAATCACATCCATCCCCCACTCTCTACTTCAATCCGCCATCCCAGGCCCTCCCCAACACATCTCCGTAACAACTTCATGTCCTCTCTATAAATATTTATTGTTTTTTAATATTATTTTAACCTCCCAAATCCAAATAGAGCCACCCAAATGTGTGTTTATAGTATAAGGTCATTCAATGTGGCACGGACGACCTCCCAGTGGCCACCCCTCTCCTAAGAATAGTAACCGTCCCTCCCCACAGCAGCCATCAACTGCCAGTATTTCCTAACTAGGTGTGGGCTTCAGCAGCCTTTCCCCCACCCAGGCTGGAATTTTACCTCAGTTCACCTGCACAACGCCCGTGTCACGTTCAGAAGACAGCCTTTTCCTTTCATCACTCAGCACTTCCTGCCTCTCTTCAGTGATGTGCCCTAAGCATTTGTGGAGGATTTATTTATTCGTGACAGGGGCTTGGTACGAAGCCCTTGGTTGAGCCCACACTCACTGGATAACCTAAGCTGGCCTCAGACTTGCAGCAGTCCTCCTGCCTTAGCATCCTGAGTGAGGAGATCGCAAGTGTGAAGTACTCTGCCCTCCAATTGCTAGTGATTCTTTTCAAAGAACGTCTCGGGATGATGAGCACCCACTCAGATTAAATGACGACACCAGCGGGCTGGGTAATGATGGTTCTCTGTTGGTGGCTTTGGGAGCTCCTCTGCCCTCTGTCACGCCGTGCTGGGGAGACTGGTTTCCAAGCCCACTTGTGACTTTAGGAAGGTCAACCGGATAAGGCATGTTTGGTGTCTGTTGGCATCCAGCAGGGTTTTGGTCAAGCCCTGATGCTCTGACAAAGTTGGTGAGTTGGTGTTTACAAATTCCTACCCACAGTTTCGTTGCTCTGATGGAGGAAGGGCCGTCTCACTCCACCTCTCCCGCTGACGTCAGCCTTGTCTTAAAATGCTAACAGCCACCCTTCTATTTGTTAATAACCATGGACTATCAACATGCAAGTTTGGGAAGCCCCACTTAGTCATGCTTTTCTCACCTCATCTATACACCATTTCTGTCGTGCACACTTTTGCTCTGTGACAACCGCAGCCTGGTTCTACTCTTGTGTAGTTTTTGTCACCTTCACACAGTAGTGTCTTAATAATGTTCTTAATAATGAAACTTTTAAAGATCAATACTTATTATGCTGTATGCTTTAAGAATTCACAGATATTTGAGTATTCAATTTTGCTAGTGTAATAAATATCTCCTCTTACACTCTAAGCATGTAATTCATGTTTAAAATTCCAAGACAAATTTGGTATACTATTGTTTACTATCAAAGACTCTACTTCCTGCCTCAAGTCTTTTCCAGATCGGTCGTATAAGTTAAATGCCACCAACCATACATGCATTTCTCTGCAGCCTAATGTTCATGAGATATACTTGAAATTATTAATGAAGTTGAGCAACTATTTAAAGAGTCTCATTTTTATGTAAAATTCGCATTTTTTTTCTCTACTGTCTTAAAAGGAGCTACAACTATCTCATGAGAAGTGGTTGATTTGTTTTTCCACACTGTAAAAAAAACCACCGTGAGATTATCTTTCAACAACATGCGATGCTGAAGGCGTGGGTAGACTGTTTCAATTCACATCGACCTGTATCTGCATCCTTGTCTTTTAAAAGTACTGAGTGACATCTCTTTGCTCCAGCAACAAAGCTAAAATTTTCAATGCTTCTCAGTTGCTAGTAACATCATAGTGCTCGGGTATTCAGTGAAAATTGTCTTTTAGCCTCAGCTACAGTGTAGAGTACCACAGCCTTCCCTCAGCATATTGGATAGGATGATACTTTGGTCACTGAGAGCAGTGTGTCCTGAACGTTGTGTAAAGAATGCACACACAGAATTTCAGCATATACCACTATAAAGTCTCAGGGGGAGGGGTGTGGGTGGAGAAGAGGGAGGGAGGGCGGGATTGGGAGGGGATGAAGGACGCGGCTACAGCTGGGATACAAACTGAATAAATTGTAATAAATAAAAAAATAAATAGAAATCGAAAACCCTGAAATTGGCGACTTTCTATAGATTCTACAACATTGTGTTTCCTCAGAACCTAATCTTTTTTTTTTTTTTTTCTTTTTCTCAGTTTAAGGCCAACCCTCCAGCTGTGACTTTTAGACTATCGGGGGAGACAGATGGCATATTTATGATAGAAGGGAATGGATTTCTGTACCACACAAGAGTCCTGGACAGAGAAACGAGAGCAGTGCATCATCTCCAGGTGAGCCCAGAAGAGCAGCGTGAAACAACAGCCTCTGCAGCACCCTTGTTCCAGGAGCCCCCAGAACCTTTGTCGCTTGCTTCTTGTCCAGCTTTCCAGACATTAGTATCAAAACTGCAATTCTCATATGACCTTCCCTCTCTCCCTCCCTCCCTCCTTTCCATTCTTTCTTCTCTCCTTCTCCCCACCTGTTTGAAAGCAGCTACAGAGGGGTGTGGCTTTTTGACCAGAGTAGTGCAATTTCCATAATCGAAATCCTCAGATGGCCATGCTCATCCAGGTCCTGGGGCTGAAACCCAGCACTGTGCCTCTGATGTGCACCAGCGCTTGGCCTGTGGCTCTTGTGTGGGCTCTGTGCCTGCAAGGAAGGCAGCATCAGCGCTGGGCATAGTCACTGCGGCCCCAGAATGCAGAAGGAGGGAATGGTCAGGAGGCCTACTGGAAATGCTCTTCCTTTTCTTCTCCCCACAGCTTCCTAGTGGGTGTCTGAATAGCTAGAATGGCAGAGAGCTAACTGAAAAAGAGCAAGCCGGCGGCATCTTGTCACCTTCTGCCATGGGCTCTGCAGACCAAGCACTGTGCCAGCTCTGAGGAGTCATGGCACCCATTGTCTATAGCAGGGTATGGCCTGGGCCTAGGACCCTGCATGACTAGAAAGCTGCTGACATCATCAGGCTGGCTTACCTGATTAGATCCTTATCTCAGAAGCGTTTTTGGGTTCTTAACCTTCTGCAGTCACCAGGCTGTCCATCTTCAGGGTTTTAAGTTTCTGTAAGTGACTCTGGGGCATGTGATCTGAAGTCCAGGGTCACAAGGTAGTTTTCTTTTCTTCGACACCAGCTTGCAGCCCTGGATTCGCACGGAGCTGTAGTGGAGGGTCCTGTCCCCATCACCATAGAAGTCAAGGACATCAATGACAATCGACCCACGTTTCTCCAACAAAAATACAAAGGCTCAGTAAGGCAGAACTCTCGCCCAGGTAAAACAGGCAGGAGCCTGAATACGTCTGTGGAATGATGAAAGAGTGCATGGTGGAAGAGTACGATTGTGTGGCTGACAGTCGTCGCTCTAGCTCCTCAAGAATTTACTTTCTCGTGTAAGTTTCACAGCTACCTGAGTGCTGTTTCATTGTACCTGCTGCTCTGGACCAGCAACTCCCACCCTTGGCCCTGTTTAGTCTTGGGTACTGTAGGATGTTTGGGAGTATCTGTGACCTTTACTTACGAGATGCCCCCCCGCCCACCATAAGCACTCATGTTGGATTATTCACAAATCACCTGTAACTCTAGCTCCGGGCATCCAATACCTTCTTTCAGCCTCTTGGGCACCCACATTTGTGTGCTCATATCTGCCTCCCCTAATTTAAAAAAAAATGTAAATAGTTAGAAGAGTCTCTATCTTGCCAAACGTACTGTTGAAAGTCAAAACCAAGCGTCTTTAGTGAAGTTTCAAACACCACAGACCCAGCTTGAGAACATCCAAGATAGTCTGGAAAGATGAGCTTGCTCCCCCCTATCCTTGTGGAGTTGCTTACAGACACTGTTTTGGCTACTTTTCTTTCATTTTTATATAGTGTTATGTTTCAGTATTATTTTATTTTTTTATTAATTTATTCACTTAATTTCCAGATAGTTTCCTCCTCTCTCTTTCCTCCATCCTTTCCCCAGGACCTCAGAAAGGTGAAGCCCTCCTCCCCTACCATCTGACCCTAACTTATCAAGTCTCTTCTGGACTGGCTGCATCCTCTTCCTCTGTGGCCTGTCAAGGCCTCCTCACCAGGGGAAAGTGAGTGAAGAGCAGGCAACCAAGTTCATGACAGAGACAGCCCCTGCTTCCCTTATGAGGGAACCCACGTGGAGACTAAGCTGCCATGGGCTACATCTGAGCAGGGGTCTAGGTCCTCTCCATCCATGGTCCTTGGTTAGTGCATCTGCAGGCCACCTGGGCCTAGATTTGTTTGCTCTGTTGGCATTTGTTGTGCATCTGTTGGTCTCCTTGTGGAGTTCCTGTCCCCTCCAGGTCCTTCTATCCTCCCACTCTTCTTTTCTTATGGCTGTTTCCCAGCTGTGACTTACTCTTCTTTGCTGCACTGGCCTACTCTCCATGTCTAGACCCTTGATATTTCCATCAGCTCATAGCAAGAATCCATTTGTATTACTTAATCCTTTTCTTTTCTCAGTGGTAAGTACCATCCAGAGATAGCTGCACTGTCCCTGTCCCTTGTCCCTGGGGTGGAATACCAAAGACCCATTTATGCTGATTTTGCTACATCAGAATCTTCTAGGCGGTGACATCTTTTCTTTCCATGAATCAAACCTTCTAGAGAAGTAATTTTCAAAAATTGGAGGCTCAGGACTCCTGTGTTATCTTACAAGTTGGAGGAACGTACATAAAAATTTAAATCTGTGAATTATTCCTGGTGGTATCCTTGCCAGTGTTTAATAGCTGATTCTCCCAGGCTGAGTGAAAAGGAGAGTGATTTGTGGCATTTGAAAGGTTTTATGGTATAAACACTCTACCACAGCTTATTCCAAATTGCACGTGCTGTTCATAAATGAGTTTATAGACTTTGGTTACTTTTATTGTATGGTGTTTTTATTAGCATGCTTTTTTGTAATGAAGTTTATAAAAAACTTAAAAATAATTGACTCAAAAATTTCTAAAAATTCAAAACTGGCTAACATGTATCAGCACTTACTGTATTAGAAATTAAAACACTTGGTTATTAAATAATTTAAAAGAACACAGAACTTTTAATGAAAAGTGTATTTTTCAAGATACAAATAATTCAATGAGAAAAAAATGACATTGTTTGAATTTTTGCAAGTTTCTTTAATGTCTGGATGAATAAAAAACAATCAGGTTTAATTGTATGGTTCTGCATTCATGCTGTTACCACAGGCTATTTTGGTTGAAGTAGTGCATGATAAAATTAGCCTCATATGATATGCAGTTTAGAAAAAGAGGAATATTTCAATAGTATTTTTGGATATTATGGACATTCTTTGATATAATTCCAAAACTTTAAAAAGATTGATGTGTCTTGCAGATGGTAACAGTGCATTAATGGTATATTTTACATTAAAACCCATCAAATTATCTTGTTCTTAAGTGGATCTTTTCTGCTTGTAGTTTGTAACACCATAAACTCCTTGACATTTGCTCAGGGATTCCTAGGGCTCCTGGCACCCTATTGTAGGGAAGGGGAGCAAATTAAAGATTCATTCTCCCATTTCCCCACTGTTAGGAACTAGGGCGCTTTCTCCCATTTTCTCTGCATCTTGGGAGGCAGGACATGGACACAGATGGCTTCCATTTCAGTTCTCTCCTCCTGTGTGTTCTTTGTTGCCAGGAAAGCCTTTCATGTACGTCAATGCCACAGACCTGGATGATCCAGCTACTCCCAATGGCCAGCTATTTTATCAGATTGCCATCCAGCTTCCCTCTATCAACAATGTCATGTATTTTCAGATCAACAACAAAACAGGGGAAATATCACTTACCCCAGAAGGTAAGTCCAGGCAGGGCCTCGAGGCTCTGTCAGAGGAAAGAGGGTCGCATTTGGAGACAAGCCCTTTCTTTTTCTTCTCCTTCACTTATTTAGGGTCCCAGGAAGTGGATCCAGCCAGGAATCCTTCCTACAACCTGGTGGTCTCGGTGAAGGACATGGGGGGCCTGGATGAGAATTCCTTCAGCGACACCACATCTGTGGATATCACTGTGACAGAGAACATCTGGAAAGCGCCAGAACCAGTGGAGATTAGAGAAAACTCGACCGAGCCTCACCCCATCAAAATCACTCAGGTAGAGTCCAGGTGGCATGAAGAGCTAACTAAGACCCATGCCTTGTTGTCCTCACTGGTCGTCCTACTAGCTGTCATTTGCACCATGTAATTACAAAGCAAATTAAGTAACCAAGGCCCTACATCTCCAGAGTTTACCATCACTCATAGAAAAGCTTGTGCGCTGGGCGTGCACACTTTCGCTTGTGCAGCACGCACCTACACGAACGCACACACACAAACTGTCGGAGAAGGAGCTTCACTCACAGACACAGGGTGCTGGGGTGTTTTAAGGTTCTCATCTGGCGGTGTGAAACACAGCTGTTTTACAGCGGGCAGTGTGGCGCATGGTAAGCCTTCATTTACGTGCCGTTAGTAACACTATCAGAGAGGCCAGGCCCTGTGTATGGATCAGGTCTTACTATAAAGTATTTTTTTTTTATTGTTGTGTGTAAAATAGCTCTAGGGGTTGGCAGTTATTTTTTTTTTTAAATCTCTGAAATCTTCCAGACTTAAATATCTGAGGGGGGAGGTGAACCCCATTATGTGTTTCAATTAAATGAATGAAGAAGCGTCTAAGACAGCAGAACCTGGGGGTCACGACCCCTTTGGGGGGGTTGAATGATCCTTTCACATATGTAGGGTTGCATCCTACATATCAGATAGCTACATTACCATTCATAACAGCAGTGACGAAAGTATGAAGTAGCAACGAAAACATTTTGGTTGGGGATCACCACAATGTGAGGAACCTCGCGGCGTTAGGAAGGTTGAAAACCGCTGATCTAAGGCACCTTCTATTGCTCCACATTCATCCTAACTCTGGATTTTAGAAGCTCATCTTATCGTACATCATGATTTAATCCTAGAAGATGCTGGCTATGAAGTCCCCTTTGCATCGTCGGCTGATGTTAAACCAGTCAGAGTTCTAGAAGAAACCAACCCACAGACTCCTCACGTGCTTCCAAGGAGCGCTTTAGGGATGGAAGAATTCCCTTGTCTGTTTGCTTTTAAAATTGGTTTAGGCTGAAATTTTTCTTTTTAAAAAAATGTAACTCAGCTGTCGTAAGAAACTCCTTATATGCAGACAGAGTTGTGAGAAATTCTGAAGTGAGAACCTAGAAGCTGTCTAGTGCCTTTTCAGTCTGTTCGTCCACACATTTTCCCTCACCCTTCTTCGGTCATGCAGGTGCAGTGGAATGACCCAGGTGCCCATTATTCCTTAGTCAACAAGGAGAGGCTGCCACAGTTCCCATTCTCAATTGACCAGGAAGGAAACATTTATGTGACTCAGCCTTTGGACAGAGAGGAGAAGGACGCAGTGAGTAAAATGGAAAGTTTCGCAGGTGACCAGACAAATCCTGTGTCTACTTACAGCTGAGCGCAAAGTTAATTGTACGTTAAAAAAACAAAACAAACCCTGTGTTTCAGATCCTAGAAGTTTATGCATTCTCAAAGACACGATAATTTGATAATTTCCTCCAAGGCCAAGCAATTTCATCCCCCACCCCCTATTTCTCAGCTCTAAGTAGGTTGACACTGGGGTGCGAGATGGTAAATGAAAGTTGTTTTTATGTACCTGCTCAAGTGGACAGCGGAGTCTTAACTCTGACCTTGACATTGTAGCATGTTTTCCTCGCAATTGCCAAAGATGAGACCGGAAAGCTGCTTTCAAAACCCCTGGAAATTCGTGTGAAAGTTATCGACATTAACGACAACCCACCAACATGTCTGTCTGCGGTGACTACGTTTGAAGTCCAGGAGAATGAGCCTGTGGGTAAGAAGTGGCAGCTGTCTGAGGCCATGGGCCTGTCTTCCTGATTGCGTCTATGACCCCTTTCTAGCCTCTGGAGTATCGGGCAACCCCATTCTGCCGCCCACTGTTCGCATCTAGCGCAGCACAGAGACTGAAGGTCTCGTGAGGGTTACCCAGGCGCAAGGAAGGCATTGAGATGAACAGCATCTCTGGTCCTCTTGAGTTGGTGCCTTAAATGGTGCGACCGCCATCACTGTCACTATTTTAGCGACAGTTCCCCTCACTGCGACCAGCAGTGCCATCACTGCACAGCGGCCCAGTCTGTGTACATGCAGGAGGGTTCCCCTTGCAAGCTTTCCCCTGCACTTATCTTTTTTGACTTCTAAACAACTCAAGAGACAAAACCTCACCCAACTTGCTAAAGTACTCCATCATTTGCATCCACGGTCAGACACCCCAACTCAGGTAGACAATGCCACGTTCCTTCTAGGAAGCCAACGATAACGGAGGAAGCTGCCAGGTAAAAGTCAAGCCTCAGGCATGCTGTCTTTTTGTTCTACATTTGAAAAGCCGGTATCTGCTGAGAGCCATAAGTTTGTACAGGAAGAACACTAAAGATGCTAACGATTTCTGAGGGTTTGTTATCTCTTCCCTGGACTTGAGACTTTTTGTCTGTTCCCTTCTTGGAGTTAAACCCAGTGGGTAGACTGGCATTTCTTTGGAGTTTGAGCTGTGTGCTTCTTAAGCTTGTGGGGTTAGCAGCTTTGCGCTCCTCATGGGTGGGGCCTACCTGCCGAGGAAGGTGGGGCCTACCTACCTACACGCCCATCAATTGATCCATTTGCAGCCCAGCTCTGACATAGCAACTGCTTTCCTGTGGCTTTTCCTCCTGTGTGATAGTTCTCTCCCCCTGGTGTTAAGTGTCACAGAAGGGTTACGAGCCCTCTGTGTGTCCTGGGGAGGAATTCTTTGTTTCAGTTATCACAATTCTTGCTTCGACAGGAGGGGTAAAAATCATGGCCCGAGAGGTTTCAGTAGATATAAGGAAGAGTGTCCCAGTGACAACTGTATGACGGAGTAACTACGGAACAGTTAACAAATGCTCGCGGTATTGTGCTTTACTGAAGCTGGGAATGGCCTGTGGGGCTGAATGAAGGTGGATTAAAAAACCTTTAGCGACCTTTCCAGATGGCACAAGTCTCTGCATACTGGGCTGTGCACATGCTGTATCCACTATCTATTGCTACACAACCAACTGCCCTCAAACTTAGCAGTCTCGCGTGACAGACACTAATTACATCAGCTTCTGTACGGCATGAATCTGATTGATGACTCAGAGCTCAGTCTGAGCCTCTGCTTCAGGACAGGGCGAAGGAAGGAGAGGAAGAAAGAAGCAATGTGGAGGTTATGGTGTTTCCAGAACATGATCTGGGAAGTGACGTCCCAACACCTGTGACACGTTCATCTCACCAGGATCAAGTTACTAGGTTATTAGGCTCCACTCTCAACTGAAAGGCAGAAGTCATGAGCATAGTTGGGACCAGAAAATGAGAAGGGTCAGGGGCCATTCGGAGGCTGCCTACCTCATGTAGGGAAAGGAGAGTGCAGTTTTCTTACATCAGTGAGATCACTGTTAGTGAAATAAACGGCTCAGATGCTCATTATGCTACCTGCTTTCTGAGAAGTGAGGATTTCCTTTGTAAAAGTACTTCATGGAGTCTTTAATAGATGAGGAATTGTAAATCAACTGGATATGTTTCCGTGTACAGCTTGTGAGAGTATGGACGACGCACCTTCTTCTTCAGGGCTTAGCACTTAGTCAGCTATCAAGACATGCACAGGTAGAAACACTACCACACAAAACACTGACTCATCCCTCTTAAGTTTATACTGTCCTCTTTTCGGTCTGTGTACAGTTGGTAGCTCACAGGGCAACTTGTATTCGCAAGTCTTAGCAGTGCCACCTGTGACCAAGGCCAGCTTCCCTTGAAATCCCTCCCATCTAAAAATAGCCCCAGCTTCTCTCAAGTGTTGCTGAGTAAGAAGTCAGCTTGTGTTGCCAGCCATTGAGTTGTCCTGGTTCCAATCGCTTGGATGGCTGGGTGCTCCTCTCTCTTCTGGTTATTCCAGCCCTCCTGCTGTCACCAAGGAATGTCTGTGATTCCAACACTGTGTCCCCCAACAGCTGCAGGTTTCCTGCATGGAGGATGGAGCCACATTCTTAGCCTCACGTGTCAATGCCTTTCTTGAGAGGTCATGCGTCACCACAAAGTTTCCTTGCTTGTGGTGCGTTTGGAAAGAAGCAGCTGCTGCCCCACGAGTACAAACTCCCCATGGCCCCTGAGCCCAGCCCATATGGCCTGTGGGTGCCCAGGTCTACCATAGATATGCACTCACTCTTTCCATTCTCTAAAACCCAATTCTGAAGAGTCTATATAAGTCAGTGCAAACTGCTGTAAGTGAAGGGTGTAACCCAGATCAAACAGGGGCATTCAACTCAAGTAACTCAAGGCTGGGGTTCTTACTGCACCATTTTTTTAATTTTATGGGAAACCCACATTTTTTTAAATTTTTTTTAGTCCTGGATGACCCCAGAATCTATCAGAATTTGCGTAAAGTGCTGGTGGAACACAGAATCATACCCACTGCCCTTTGGAGCTCCTGGGCCAAAACACTCACAGCCATAGAATACATAGGGCCATGGCATGTGGCGTGTGTGTGTGTGTGTGTGTGTGTGTGTGAGAGAGAGAGAGGGAGTGAGAATGTACATATGACATGGCAGGTGTGGGAGGCATGGCAGGTGTGGGAGGCACGGCAGGTGTGGATGTGTATATGTGGCATGGCAGGTGTTTGTTTATGTGTGTGTGTGTGTGGCATGGCAGAGGCGTGTGTGTGTGTGTGTGTGTGTGTGTGTGTGTGTGTAACCATTCTTGTGAGCTATCTTTGAAGTGGAGTGAGTCTCTGTGGTTGTTCACAAAGATCTCAGAAGTACCCAGGATTGGCTTCTTCCAGGTTAGCAGAATAAAGCACAGATTTGAATCTCTCAGTTCTGGGGGCGTGGGGATTGTGAAATCGTGGTGGAGGCATCTAGAGCCCATTGCCTTCTGACTCTGATGTAAACTGGCTGCTGATAGCACTCTCCAGATCTCTCTTCCCCTCTTCTTTCTCACCTCAAGGAGTGTCTCCATATCCTCCCTTCTCCTAAGGGATGGCCTCATCTCAGTAGCCTAGCTGAGATGAGATGAAAATAGGGCTCTCTTATGGCCCTATTTTCTTTTCTTTTCTTTTTTTTTTTCTGTGTACCTTGGCTGCTCTGGACTCTAGACGAGGATGGCCTGGAATTCACAGAGATTCACCTGCCTCTGCCTCCCTGAGTGCTGGGGTTACAGGCATGCGCCACCTCACCTGGCTGGCCCTGTTTTCAAATAGGGTCCCACAATGAGATTTTGGATGGATGTAGATTTTTTTGGGTGGGTGAGAAACAGGAAGTACATTATGCAGAACTGTCACCCCCCATAAGTTGATGTCCTAACTTCCTGTGTGGGCAAAATTGCCCCCCCCCACCCTAGGTCATAGGATAAAGTTCTAAGCCTAAGTCCTAAGACATCAGTATATGGCTATTCGGATGTAGAGTTTTTAAAGAGGAAATTGGGTAGGATGAGGGGCCGGATGGGCTGAGGGGCCGAGAAGATAGCGTAGTCAATACATTTCCTGCCCTGAAACTCTAAGGACCCGAGTCAGATACCTGACGCATTTGCACAAAGCCAGGCTTGGTAGTACATACTTGTAACTGCAGTGCTTGGGAGGCAGAGACAGGGGGATGGCTGGGGTTCACTGGCCAGACCACTTAAACGTGCTTGGCAAGATTTTGGAGCGAGACACAGAAAGACAGAATCAGAGACACAGATAAATGGAGACAGAGACAGAAACACGGAGACAAGAGTCCCTGTTTCAAAGCAAGCAGGCAAACAAACAAACAAATACAAAAATGAACAAAAATCGGCAGCTTCCAGGAGTGATTCTGGGGTTCTCTCTGACTCCCACATCCACATGTATACAAATGTACATCCACAGACACACAGGCAAGTAGGAGGAGCACTCAGTGGTGGGCTTTACTCTAATCTGACTGGAGTTCCTATGATAAATTTGGACGCCAAGGTCCAGAAAGAAAATGCATAGGGAGGAAGAGAAAGCCGGGAAGAGAAGTGTAGAGGAAAGCAACTCATCAGCACCTTGATTTCGTGTGTCTAGCCTCCAGGACTTTGAGAAAGCAAATTTTTAAGCCTCTCAATCAATGATACTTTACAGCAGTCTTGGCGTCCCTGCGTTTTCTCAGAAGCTGCTTTTTGAACATGTGGAACTGGTCTGAGGAGCTGTCCTTTTCTCTCCACAGGGAACAGCCTTGGGATCTTCACTGCCCATGATATGGATGAACCAAACACCGCCAACAGTATTTTAAAGTACAAACTGGTAGACCAAACCCCCAAAGTTCCCTCAGACGGACTCTTTCTCATCCAAGAGTATGAGGGAAAGGTCCAGTTAGCTAAACACTCCTTGAAGAAGCAAAACAACCCTCAGTACAACTTAACGGTAGAGGTCTCAGACCAAGGTTAGTACCACACTTGTTGTTGTAAGTATATATAGTTGTTTTCCTTCTACTTATGATTTGTGAGGCTGTTCCCAGACCAGTCCAATTCTCTGCTATCTTTGTGAATTCGAGAAAGTCGAATGTCGATGTTTTCTCAAGAGCAGAAGGGCAGGTCAGGAAACCCAGGTGTCAAGGGGGATTCGGTGACCATCTTAAAGGGGATGCCTTTGAGAAAAATGGAAGAAAAACTTAGAAATCTAGGAGATCACCAGACAGCAATACTGGCTTGATCGTGGCGGAAGGAGTGCCGATAGGGATGCTCTAAATCACTGAACAGTGTAAGGAGAAGTCTAAATGGCTGCCTGGAACGCTGCAGTGTCATTAACTCTAGGGATAGGCCTGTCTTTTGCATCACTACTTGCTCAGTAATTGTCTGGGGGCAGACAATGGAAGAGGAGGTGCAAAGGCACCGCTGGCCACAGCATAACGGTGCAGGCACCGGGTCATTTCATTAGTCTAGCTGTTAAAAGTCTGCTAGGCACAGTCTCAGGACTACCGTAATCACAAAACAAAAACAAATTATCTTTCCTTATCCTTGCTTTCAGACTTAAAGTATCTTTGTATGGAAGTGGTTGAGAAATGTGTCTTTGGAGAGAGAGTTCTGCCTTTTCTTGCCAGCTTCTAATTGCCCACTGGACAACACCAGGAGATCTTTCCCTTTAATCCTTGTATCCTGTCAAAGCGGGTTCTTCTTAACCTCTGTTAGGGCAGAGGAGTCTTTAAGAATCTCATGAAAACTTCCCATTCTCAGACTCTTCTTCACACCCACAGACAAACGTGCTATTTCTAGGGTACCCCTCAGAGTCCTAGCAGGTAGCCGGCCCATGAAATAATTCTGTAATTGTTTTCTGAAGAACACAGTTTACACAGGTGTGGAAAAGAAAAGATCATTGGTTCACATGCATTTCTCAGTTTTTCCTTTTCCATGGTCGTTGATGTCCTGGGAGAACTTGAGTTAAGCAGGCTCCAGCACACAAGGCCTGCCCATCAAGTTCCCAGGGGAGCTAGGAGCTTGACACATAATGAGGGTCTGAAGCTGTTTAGCACTGTGTTAAGAGGTTTAGCGAGGCAAGTGTAATAAATCACGTTGTCCATGGCAAAGTGGCAGATTCACACACTGACCGCCATGCTTTCAGCATCCCATCATTTGCCTTGCTGAGGTACCAGACAAAGTACTAGGGATCCCCAGATGAGCCAGACCCATGATCTGTCCCTAAGGGAGATCTCCTTTTGTTAGGAAAGATGGACACACAAGTCAACAACTTGTACGGACACATACAAGGGAGCCCACGAAGGAGGGTGAGAGCAGGAAAGGCTCCCTGAGAGATTAGTTTACCTAACCGGCAAAGTTTGGTGAGCTACGTTCTGAGGGATAATTTTTGGAAGAGTGGGGATTCCATGTGCAAAACCATCAGAACCTGGAGGAGTTTGAAAATGTGAGGGTATAAAGTGTAGACTATGTGAGGGTGGCTCAGTGGTTAGGACCTCTTGCTGTGCTTCCAGAGGGACCCCCCAATTTGGTCCCCAGGACCCATGGTGAGTGGCTCATAACTGCCTGTAACTAGTTCCAGAAGAGCTAACATCCTCCTCTGGGCTCTACATGCATACTCCAAATGGGCATGGCTTCGTTACATATATCTGCAATCTCAGCACTGGGAAGTCAGAGACAGCAACTATTTCCTTGGGGCTTACACCCAGCCAGCCTAGAGGATTTGTCAAGTTCCAGGCCAGTGAGAGACCCTACATCAGAAAGAAAACAGTGAACAGCACCTGAGGAGTGACAAATTAGGTTGTCTTCTGGTAAACACACACACACACACACACACACACACACACACACACACACACGGAATGGTATGGTATGCAGGAAACCGATCATGGTCCTAAATGAGGCTTTTGAAGAGCATAGAGCCAGTAGGTTTGGAGGCTTGTACCAACACATTTCTACCTGCAAAAGCTCTGGGAATCAGCTCTACTTTCACCAACATCTGTTTGTTTGCAATCAGATTAGAAACTGTGTTCAGCACCTTAGCCAGTGCACTGAGGATTTGCTCTGGGGGTGATTATGTGGACAGATCAGTGAGGATGACAGCCAGAGGCCACAGGTTTCCCAAAAGGGGTGGCCAAAATCCTTTAAAGGGAGCGCAGTTAAGGAAAGTGAACAAGAGGCATGATGGGAGTGGGGGCTCTAGGGGAGGGGCCTCTCCACCATGAAAGCACTTCTCTAGTCTCCTAGATAAGAGCCGGGCCTCTTATCGGTAGAGCCCAGCTGTCAGTGGGAGGGCAGGGGCCTCACTGATGAGGGGGCCACAGTTCTGGACCTGAGCGCAGGGCAGAGTAAAAGGTCAGCAGGAGTGGAGAAGGCAAAAGGAACACTGGCCCTGCTCTCAGCAGTGTAATTTTAAGCAGATTTCCTGGCTTCTGCATTAAGAAGGGAAAAAAAAGTGAGGCTGATAACAGTACCTCCATTATGAAGAAATTAGGACCATGTGTAGGGAGGGCCTGTCATGCAGGCTCTGTCACGCACAGACCACTAGCATCTGGGTTAGGATGAGGACTTTGGTTTTGCTCTCCACATTGTGTAGGCAAGCTGATGGGACACAGAGCACACAGTGACGCTCCATGTTCTCTGCCTCTGGCTTATGCAAGGGCCAGAATCCGAATAATGGGGTCCCAGAGCCAGCACACTGTATATATGCTTCAAAAGATGGCAGCGCCCTCTGCCCCCAGGAACTTACTGTCTGCCGTCATCCTGGCTCTCTTCCTAGACACCCTCCCACAACACACCTGCAGGCCATGCTCATCTTGGTTCTAGGATCCATCTGCTGGTTCCAAATACTCCTCAACTTGTCAAACCACCCTCACAGCCTGTTGGCATACTTAAAAACAAAACAATAAAAAACAACTCTTTTATTTACATTTCTTTTATCTTTTTCTCCCTATAACTCCAATCTCTTCCAACACCCCAACACCAGGTAGGAGAGAAAGGATTAGTGGGAGAGGGGGCACAGCTCTCTTAGCTGCTTCCTGCTGGTTAGGGTCGTTGGGTTCCCTGGAGCCAGTTCAATCATTGATTCAGGGGATCTCCAACTTCTTGCCTCACTGCATCAACAGCAGCAGGAGCAGCAGGGGGAAGCAGCAGCAGCCTTGTTTTTCTCGGAGCTCCCACACTGGCATTTATTCTCTCTTCAGAGTCCTCAGGTTTAAACTATCTGCAGCTGGCAAAGAGCTCCTCTCAGAGCCTGCATGAGGCAAATAGTCTGCTGCTGTGGACCATATGAATCAGTCCCACATCCCACACCAGGGACCAAAACAAAAACATGTTCATCATATCCACAACAACAGCCTGTGCCAACCCCCCTCCCCATTCTGTGAGCTACCTCTTTCTTAGCTTCCCTGGGAGGTGAACTATGCCGCTTTATCCCTTACTTGGAGGGGAGGAAGCAGGTGACCTTGGGCCTCCCCACCATGCTGGGTAGTTCTGATGCTGGGAAGATGTACCCAGAGAAGGAAAGGCAGTCTGTGAGAGGCTCAGCAGGCATGCTGGGAGGGGAAGTTTTGCTTTGGGCATGGGAGATTACACGGCATCTACCTGGCAGGTAAGGGAGCTGCTTTGGAGAAAAGCAGCCATCCTACTCGGTGAAAAAGCCTTCCTAGGAGGGGGCAGCGGAAAGCTCAGGAGAGCATCTCAGAGCCCAGTCTGGCTTCCATCTCCCCTTGATGACCTGCTTGTGGGTGAGGTGGAGAGAAGGGCAGCCTCCGTTCACATGAACTGTGAAGTCGTGGTGGCAGCTGTTGCATCTGCCAATGCTTCCTTACCAAGTCCTGGTGCCAATGCATGATTTCCAGTGAGAATTCTGTGGTGTGGCTTTGGTTTTCAGATTTCAAGACCCTCTGTCTTGTGCAAGTCAACGTTATTGACATCAATGATCAGATTCCCATCTTTGAAAGATCAGACGTGAGTAGATGTCGCTATTTGTTTTATCTTTATTTTGATCATATTACCGAACACTTCATTTAAATAAAAACACAAAGTGCCAGATAACCTGGTTAATGCACCAATAAAAACCAGATAGCATCTTCACCATGAGTCCTCAGGGACACTAAGATGTACTGATAATATCTGGAAATGTCTATTTATAAACCCCTGCCAGCCGCTCATTTACTCTAAAGGCTGCTTAAAAGCTGCAACCACAATTTTTTTCAGTTTGAAAACTGAATGGCTGTTTGTGGCTTTTTGTCTATTGCATGCAATAGATGGTAGATAGAGCTACTAGATCTATCTGAAGCATTTAGGATAAAAAAAAATTGCATTGGAAGTACTGGTGACGTTAACTCATTTTGTATTTAACTGGGTAACAGAAAAGAAAAAGAAAGAAAGAATGAAACAAACAAACAAATAAAAACCCGAAACATCTCCAACTTGAACCTAAGAAGAATGTGCTCCCTGTATTTGCAAGAATTAGAATTGGGCATAGAGTGTCAATACAGAAAGGACATCAGGGCAAATGGCTGTAGTCATGGTATGGTGTTCTCATTACTCCCTTAAAAGGGATGTCTCAATTTATTTAGCTTGGGGGAGAGAGAAGCCCATTTGACTAGATTGTTATGTTAGAAGTCAGTTTTGAGGCAGCCCAGGGCCTTCTGACGATGTCCATAAATCAAAACCGGGACAAGGCTGTAGCAAGGAAGGGAATTAATTTATGGTAGAGCTCAGAACTATAAGAAGTGTGATGGAATGTGTCTTGTCTAACAGCCACTTAGGTTAAGCAAGCATGAAGCAAAGAGCTCATTTTTTTTTCTCAGCCACTCTCCTCTAGGGCATTTTCCCTGTCCTGGTGTTGTGAGTTCCCTGCATTTCACCAGACAGTGGTCAAGCAGACTGAGCAGAAGAATTCTGCAGTGGGGGGTTCGAGACCTTGGAGATGCAAACCTGAGTGAAAGTGGGCTTGCTTATTCTGTTGTTAGCATCTTCCCTTGTACCCCGGCTGTAATCATTTTCAGAGATCATGGTGCAGGGGAGAGTGGATCTTGGGGCTTCTGGGGAGTCAGACTGTTTTATGGGGGTGTGAAGAACACAGGCTTTGGGGGGTTGGGTTTGGTCATCCAGCTGTGCTAACCTGGATGGGCTGAGCATGCTAGCCCATGGCTTCTCAAGTGTCACTGGCACAGTTGCTGCCCTCAAGGGTTCTTTGGTGCCCACCTTTCATAAGCACTGCGTACCAGCCAGTCAGACTTTACATGTACCATTCCCCTAATGACCACAGCTAACAGTGGTTTCTATTCTCCTCTTACATAAGGGATCAAGCCCATGTTTAAAGAGACGAGATAACTGTGTCATTCAACTGACAAATGGCAAATTTAGGACTTGTAGCCAACTCTGACTTCAGTGTTTTGAGCTCCTCATGTCTATTCTGATTGAAGAATTAGAAGTATCTGTCACACCAAAGGCATTTCACATACTAGGTCTATGCATATCATTATTAATCAAATAATTATAGTTATTAAGCATGCTGGATGTTCGAGGGGAAATCTATTTAAATATACCTCTAGAATGTCTATGATGTTTTATGTTTCTTGGTATGGATTTTAGTTCATGAGTACAAATGATGTTAAAACCAACTGCAACATGTTTGTCAAAAGAAAAACCATGCTGGGTGTTAAAAACAGCTGTGACCTCTGTCCCGAGCTCAGACGGACCTTTGCCCTTTAGCAAGTAAACTCAACGACAGTGGATGTCTTGTTTCCTTTCCTGTTTCTCCCTTAGTATGGAAGCAAGACTCTTCCTGAAGACACAGCCGTTGGATCCACCATCTTAGTCATCCAAGCCACGGATGCAGATGAGCCCTTTACAGGGAGCTCTAAAATTATCTACAAGATTGTACAGGGGGACACTGGGGGAAGACTGGAAGTTGTCACAGACCCCCAGACCAACGCAGGATACGTCAAGATCAAAAAGGTATAGCCCACCTAATGATTATTAACAAAGTAAATAAAGTAGGTTTAATCTTCTTGTGATGATGTCAGGAACAGTAGGCCGAGGTGAGAGTCACAGTTGGAATCTGTCATTAACCAACCAAGTCAGTTGGGATTCATAATACAGTTTGAACAGTTTTAAAATGTAAGCATGTCTCATGAGATGCATATTAAAACTTCTTTATGTGAAATTAAGGGACTCGCTATGTTTTACCTTCTAAATCTGGCAGCCATGTGGCCGTAGGGGTAGAGATAATGTGGGTTTCGCTTTTCCCTTTAGGTGGAAACCGTTTCCACCAGTGTACCTGACATAGGCTCCTGCTGAATATGACTAAGAACTGTGGGGTTCCTTTCAGGGTTTCATAGACAAGTTTGTTTTTTAAACTCCTACAAGTGGGGTCCTCAACTGGGAGTGCACTCTGGGGATCCTAGCAAGTGAGGTCTGGCCATCCCCTTATAAAAACAAACAGTGGTAAAAGTAAGAGGGAGAAGGATTTTAACCAACAGCTATACTGAAGAGACAGCAAGGTTAGGAATTCAGCCCATCTTTGGGTACCGACACGAACTCTGTTTGCACAGAGGAAAAGGCACTGCTGAGAGGCGTGCATAATTAAATGATGCTAATCACCTGATGGAGAGATCTGGTACCCAAATGATGCTGTCTTCTGCTTGAAGCTGATCTGCCTGCAATGTCTCTTGTTCCTAGGTATCAAGGTAGCTATGACTGTAGGGTTAGGGCAATGTCTGACACTTCCAGATGCCTTTGGGGATGCTCTGGAACAGGATTCTGTAAATCCTGGCAGGAACATGCCTCAGTTACTTTTATATTTCTACCTTGAATGGGGATATGAGGATGAGATTTTAGACTGTGTGTGTGTGTGTTTATCCATTGTGGGAACTGGAATCTAATCTAAGGTCTCCACAAAAGTGTAACCACTAAGCCACCATTCTAGCTCCAGGGATGAGGTTGTAGATAAATACTCCCTATGTGATTGGCATGCCTATGTCCAGAAATAATCAGGAAGGTAATCCAAAGTTTTAAGACAAAAGACACGAATGTAGAGGGTTACAGAATTTTATTCTGCTTCTAGTTAGCTTGTGAGTCTGGGTGAGGGACCAGTGATTCTCACCAAAAAGAGCTTTTTAAAAAATTCTTTTTAAATTTATTACAATTTATTCACTTTTTGTACCAGCTGTAGCTCCCTCCTTCGTCCCCTCCCAATCCTACCCTCCCTCTCTCTTCTCCTCCCATGCTCCTCCCCCTGTCCACTGATAGGAGAGGTCCTCCTCCCCTTCCATCTCACCCTAGCCTATCAGGTCTCATCAGGACTGGCTGCACTGTCTTCCTCTGTGGCCTGGTAAGGCTGCTTCCCCCTCAGGGGAGGTGATCAAAGAGCCAGCCACTGAGTTCATGTCAGAGACAGCTCATGTTCCCCTTACTAGGAAGCCCATTTGGAGATTGAGTTGCTATGGGCTACATCTGTGCAGGGGTTCTAGGTTATCTCCATGCATGGTCCTTGGTTGGAATATCAGTCTCAGAAAAGGCCCTTGGGCCCAGATATTTTTGGTTCTGTTGCTCTCCTTGTGGAGCTCCTGTCCCTTCCAGGTCTTTCTATCTCCCCCTCTTTCATAAGATTCCCTGAACTCTGCCCATAGTTTGGCAGCATCTGCTTTAATACCCTGCTGGGTAGAATCTTTCAGAGGTCCTCTGTGATATGCTCCTGTCCTGTTCCCTGTTTTCTCCCTCTTCCAATGTCGTTTGCCTTTCTGTATGAAGATTGAGCATCTTACTTAGGGTCCTTCTTTTTGCTTAGCTTCTTTAGGTGTATATATTTTAGTATGATTATCCTGTATTATATGTCTAAAGTCCACTTATAAGTGAGCATATACCATGTGTGTCTTTCTGCTTCTGGGATACCTCACTCAGGAAAAAATAAAGGTCGTCCAAAAGGAGTCTTTAAGAACCGAAACTCCAGCCTTTGTGGTGTTGCTAAGCCCCATTGGCTCTTGCCTTTCCCCCTTCTATAAAGACTAGAGTTTGGCGATGTATTAACTCATAGTTCCCACTTCTTTTGTCAGGGTTCCACCAACTTTTCCTCAGCCTGTTCCTGTCCCTCACCATGTCCCCAAGTCTCAATTCTTTCTTCTGTAGCTGCTTGATTTGTGTTAGCACTCATAAAGCATTTACCGGACGACCCATTCGGAACCAACGCATATCACCATACAATAGGTGTCAAGTTAAAGCACCTAGCATGGGGAAGGCTTGAAGCCTTCCAGTTAAACAGGGAGGGGCATAACAGATAATCTGCTGGAATATTGCTTGTTGGTTGGGGCTGCAAAAGAAAAGCCAAGGAAAGTTTTGAACTAGAGCAATGGAAAGCTGGGAGTAAAGGATAAAAGTAAAGGCCAAGTAGTTACACAGAAAATAAAAAAGAGCAAAGGAAAAAATAATGTCAGCCCGGAACCAATCCAGAGGATCGAATCTGCTGTTTGAATGTGTAATAGTGCCCATAGTTTCCTGTGTTTGGACACTTGGTCTAAAGCTGGTGGCGTTGTTTCGTAAAATTGTGGACCCGCCAGGAGGTGAAGCTTTGCCTGAGAAACTAGGGCCAGAAATTTTGTGGGCCATGCTTTCTTCCTGTCTGTTTGTTTGCTTTCTAACTGCAGACACAGTATGACCGGCCACAGCTTCCTGTGTCCGTTCGTAAGCTGTGAGCCAAAACAAAGACTTCTTCCCTTAGGGAGCCTCTTGCCTGGTACCTGGTCACGGCAACAGGAAAAGAGTGCACTGCTGTCACATACACTCCATCTGACGAAGGTGCCCACTGGGTTCAGCAGAGAGTTCGGTGTATAACACCCATACTTTCTGTGGAAGTCTGACATTTGGAGAAGATACCGTCACAGCTCCCCTTCTATTCCTAGCTATGTACATGGAGAGAGAACCTGGAAAGGATGAGGGAAGGGTGTGTTCAGAGTCAGGAATGGGTAATGTGCTAAGCATGGTGCAGGCCCAGGGCCTCTCTCTCCTCCCACACTTAGAGACTTAGGGAAGACAGGGATGCCTGTCCCAGTAAACAGCTTCCAGGTGTAATTTTTCCTTGTGTAATCTGATCATGAACCGTCTCCAGCCAACCTGACCACGTGTGGCGATTGAATCCTTTAGGGAGACGATGGTAGGGGAGAGGTATGGTTGTCTTTCCACCCAAGCCTTATGTAAGGTAAGATTATAGTGGAGCCGGCCCATTCACCAAACTCTCTTCATCCTTATTTTGTATGTTGCTGTACTTCCTATATCTAGGATGTTGCTTGACACATGGTAGATGAAGCTATGAAGTATTACTTGACTGAATGAATAACTGAAATTTGTTTCATGTACAATTACTGATAGTCACATAAGCCATCATAGAACCTTTGTGTTAGGGCCCTGAAGTCTCAGCTCTCTGTTCCCCAGGCACTGTGACAACAGAACTTGAGTGACAAAATTTGACAGGCTGAACACCAGACGGTAATCTCAACACAGCTGGAGTCCTAGAACTCTGAAGGGCACAAGCTGTACCAAAAGTCATACTTCTCTTGGCAACGATCAAGAGCAATATTTAGATTTTAGTTTCTAGGGCTTCAGAGTCCTATAGGATCCAGGGGGGGGGAGGCTATCACCCCTTCTTGGTCTTTTTCTTTTAATAGAACAATAAACTTCTGCTTAGAGGGGGTAAGAGGTCCCATAGGGCCAATTGCTCATAGGATAGATAAATCTCTCTGTACTGGAACATGTTAAGTCTATTCTTGAAAACTTACAGAACTGGAACGCACTGTTTTCTGAATTAACTGTTTCTATCTTAGGTAGCCTGCTTGCTAAATTCTCCCTCACAGAGAGCCAGAAACAGCATCCTGTTTTTTTGTTTGTTTGTTTGTTTTTGTTTTTAGGTTTGAGACAGGTTTTTCTCTAGGTATCCCTAGCTGTTCTGGAACTCACTCTGTAGACCAGGCTGGCCTCGATCTCACAGAGCTCCACCTACCTCTGCCCCTAGAATGCTGGGATTAAAGGTGTGCATCACCACACTGCCTGGCAATGTCCTGTTCTTGTTCTTGGTCCTGTCTGGCCAGCTGGACTAGGAGTACATCCTCCTCCTGGCATGACCTCTGCTTCCTTCTTCTAGAATCTCTTATTTTGAGTCTTGGGTTCTGAAATCACTGGGAAGTCATTCCCCATACCACATGGACATCTTTGTAGTATAAATACTTTCCTAGTTGTCATTGCTTGAGGAGAATCAAGATTTTGCTGAGTAGATGAGCAGGGTGCCCCAGGGCTAACTGAATCTGAGGAGAGCTGTGCCAGAGACTCTCTTCCAGGACAGTTCATGTACCTGAAAACACCCGGTGCCCTGGTAAAGCTGAAATAAAGCTGTGTTTTGGTTTTCTTGAGAAGTAAGTTTTGGTTAAGACTCTATGAGCTTTTAAAGAAATAAATCCTTGAAGGGAGCTATTCACTCCAACATTAATTTCCCCGCTTTCTTTCCTTCCACAGCCTCTTGACTTTGAAACCGAACCATTCACCAGCATTGTGTTCAAAGCAGAAAACCCTGAGCCACTGGTGGCCAAAGTAGACTACAATGCTAGTTCTTATGCTTCGTTCAACCTGACTGTGACAGACGTGAATGAAGCACCTGAATTTCCCCAACAAATATTCCAAGCAAAAGTCAGCGAGGATGTTGCTGTAGGCACTAAACTGGGCAGCGTGAGCGCCAGGGACCCCGAAGGCCTGGCTGTGAGGTACAGGACATCAGGGCTGGGCAGGCCTACATGCACCCTTCAACCAAAGGACTAACGAGGGCTGGCAAGGCGGAGAAGCAATGTGTACTGTCGTCAGGGCTGGGCCAACGGAGCAGACATCAGAAGCAGGGGCTCTGGCTTTAGTTCAGTGTTTCAATGATTAATGATTACAATGATTAATTTACTTACTACTTGCATATACACACATTTTTATAATATCTATATGATCTTAAAGATCACATGGTCAGAAAGCATAGATAGGACTTGAATCCAGACCTATTGTTTGTCTTGTACAATATTGTCCAGACTGGATCTGACAAACTTCAGTATGACCTAGCTGGTGCTAGTTCCAAGCCTTTAAGGTTTTCTGCACATTTGAGTGAAGTCTTACCATCTTATCAAGCTGTACTAGAGACACCAGTTATAGGACTTTACTGATTTTCCTGCATGGAGTATATTACTAGTTTGCTTACCGTAGCAAAAAAAGTGTGACGCAGTGTCACTTTATAAAGAAAAGCAGTTTATTTAGCTCATAGCTCTGGACGCTTCTGGGCATAGCACCAGTCAGGCAGGACCTGGTGAAGGTCTTGTGTGATTATCAGCACAACAGCAACATAAGCAAAGGGAAAAAGACAACACTGCAGACAGAAAGCCGGAGCCACTGAGTTCTCACAACCCCTGCAAGGACATGTCCCCCTTAATCCACCCAAGGACAGCCTGCTTGGCCCTACCTCTTAAAGGCCCGGTGCTCAGAAAATTTCCCACCTGAGAATGAAGCTTCTAACATGAGGACATTTTTTTCTGAAGTGGAACAACATTCAAATCATGTCCATAACACACTGAGGAGTGAAGTTACCACCCAGTGAGGATTATACTGCATTATTCAGTGTGGGGACAACACACTACATCTGAGTCACAAGTCACGATGGGGATCCAAAGTATCTAAATTCCACAGCCCATGTTGTCTAACAGGCACCTCTGCTTTCTTCATGAGAGTGCTCTAAAAGATTACCACTTGTAATGAAAAGATAAACATAAAGAAATAAACTTATTGGCCAGAGGTATGTATATGTTAGAACAGAGAGAACATAAACAATTAAGGAAATTCCTCTGGTGGCTTGAAAACTGGGATAGAACATAAAACCAGAGTTGCAATCAGGAGATGAGGCAGGCAAGGGAGACTGAGGAGAGACATTCTCTAAAGTATGTTTCTAGATCAATGGGGAGTCAGCAAGCCAGCCCTGGTACACATGACATGGAAAGAACTGGCTTTACTATTTCAAAGTTGTTTAACTCTCCAGCTGGGTCAACCTAGAGAGGCCATCAGCATCCAGGAGATCGAAATCCAACCCAGCTTCAACCGTGAGAGACCCCCCTGCTGACAGCCAGCCAGAAGCAAGTGTTTCTCACTACTTCCGGCGCGGTCCGAGGCACTGGGGTCTCTGTTTTGAACCCACTGCTTTCCACCATCCCCTCTCCCATCTGAGTCAACTAGTGCACAGACAGAGCCGTTAAAACACAGTGAGCCAGTTGGCCAGCTCCTGTTCAGAGCCTGCCCTCGGCTCTGCCCTCGCTTCTGTCAGGGTGAGATCCCAAGTACTGAGGCATTCTCATTTATCACCCGTACACAAACATGAGTGCTCGAGAAATACAACATGCTAAAAATATACTGGGGAAAATTAATTTGACTAAGTAAAATTTTAATCATTCCTATTCCTGGATGTGTAGGCTAACAGCATTTTAAAAATTATAGACAATGTTTTGAAGCCGTACACGCATGCAGTTCTTTAACTCCTATTCAGTTTTTTTAAATTTTTTATTAATTACATTTTATTCATTTTGTATCCCCCCATAAGCCCCTCCCTCCTCCCCTCCCGATCCCACCCTCCCTCCCCTTTCTGCATGCATGCCACTCCCCAAGTCCATTGATAGGGGAGGTTCTCCTCTCCTTTCTGATTTTAGTCTATCAGTTCTCATCAAAAGTGGCTGCATTGTCCTCTACTGTGGCCTGGCAAGGCTGCTCCCCCCTCAGGGGGAAGCGATCAATGAGCAGGCCAATCAGATTATGTCAGAGGCAGTCCCTCTTCCCATTACTATGTAACCCACTTGGACACTGAACTGCCATGGGCCACACCTGTGCAGGGGCTCCAGGTCACCTCCACGAATAGTCCCCAGCTGGAGCATGATTCTCTGGGAAGTTCCCTTTTTATTGAGGCGACATTTCCAGGAGCGGGAACAACTGGCTCACGGCTATGGACATCTTTGCAGTCATAGTGTGAGGCTTTACAAGAGGCCAAGCTCACCCACGCCTATCCACACGCTGTGCACACACCGGGATGTTCTCTGTCTTTCCGGTCTGCCTTGTGTGTCTTTGAGGCTCCCTTCTTGCCTGTCTCAGCAATCTCCTTCAGAAAGGCTTCTCTCAGTCCAAGCAACCTCTCCGTGATTCCAAGCACCTACACTGTATTGCCCACACTTTACAGGACTATCTGTGTATCTAAAGGCCCATGTTCTTCAACTTTTGCGGTGGTCCTATCTGCTGAAGCTGGTGTTGCTTTAGTGAGGGTCCACCAGGCCACTGGCAGCGGATGTCTCTGACGCTAGCTGCTCGGGCTTACTGAGGAGTGTGCTGTACTGAAAGATTGCAGAAGACACTTATTTCAATTTGAAATCTTGTTTGCCAGGAAAGTCCAGGCTTTTCACTCTGCCATATATAATAAAACAATCATGGAACCACACTGTAAAGCAGCAGTTTTCTCCTAATGCTGCGACCCTTTAACACAATTCCTCACGTTGTGTGACTCTCGACCATAAAATTATTTTCGTTGCTATTTCACAACTGTAATTTTGCTACTGTTGTGAATTACAATGGAAATGTCTGTGTTTTCAGATGGTCTTAGGTGACCACTGTGAAAGGGTCCTTTGACACCCCCCCAAAGGGGTCAGGACCCACGGGTTGAGAACCACTGCAGTAAAGTCACCTCTTCTTCCAAAGAAAGCTACGTAAATGCGACGCTTATTCTGTGATTCTGCTCCATCGTCCAACCAAATGATGACGCTTTACTGGAGCATAAAAGCACAGACTATCTTCCGGTTTTCGTGCAGAGTAACACAAGTTTTCTTCTGTTCTTCCCTCTGTGAAGTTACTCACTGAGAGGCGATAATCGAGGTTGGCTAAAGATCGACTCAATCACTGGTGAGATCTTTAGCACAGCTCCGCTGGACAGGGAAACGGAAAGCCTGTATCGGGTGCAAGTGGTGGCCACAGAAGCAGGTGAGCAAAACCAAACCAGGTTATCAGGGGGAAAAATCAATAAAAAATAAGTGGGCTGGCAGGAAAATTGATGGTTGAAAATCACTGCTGAGATAGTAGGGAAGGAGGACCTCCGCCATCAGTGGGACTAGGGGAAGGGCATAGGGGGAGAAGAGAGAGGGAGGGTGGGACTCGGGGGAGATGAAGAAGGGGCTACAGCTGGGATGCAAAGTGAATAAATTGTAATTAATAAGATCAATAATAAAGAAAAAAATCACTGCTGATTATGATCGTAAAGCCAGGGTGAGACAGGTACAAAAATGTGTGTGTGTGTGTGTGTGTGTGTGTGTGTGTGTGTGTGTGTTCAATCCTTCATGGTTGCATTAGAGAACACCTCTGCCAATCTGGCCTTCAACTAGGCAGCGTTTCCCCGAGGCTGGCAGGGCATTAGAGAAGCTACCAGCTCTGGTTTCCTGAAGGAACTGGAGCCTCTCCTGAGAAAGTTCTAGGGTCCCTCTAGGGCTCTACCTCTCAAAGGGCTATGAAACAGGAAACCAGTGGCCCACAGAGCCTTAAATTATAGCCCATCACTGCGCATGCATCTTTGGAGAAGAAGACGTTGGAAGAGAGGCTGTCCACCTGCAAGCTTGTGCGGGAGCGACTTGGGAGTCCATTCTTGGGGATTCTGACTCAGCAGGTGTCAGGGACCCCATGTCCGCTGTTTGGATGAGGAGGGATGGACTTTTGGAAGGGAAGGTGCGGACGTGGCAGGATGTTGAAGCATCCTGCCTCATCCCTGCATCCTATTTAATTCAGCTGTGGTCCGAGTTGCCCACTGGCTCTGAACATGGAGTTCCAGGAAAGTTTTCAGATTAACATAAAGATAAGCTAACAGGAAGAGTATGCCATCTAGGGATAAGGCTGGTAATTAAGACACTGAGTGTCTGTAGATGGAATTTTCCACCTTGCAGCAGGAATTCTGTTGATCTTATGTTGATCAAGGACTCTAATTAGCCAGCAATGTATCCACTTGGCTTATAAGAGATGAGAGCAGAACAAATCACTATCAGACAAATGCAATTTTAGACCAAAAAATAATAAACTTTTAAAATACAAAGTCCCAAATTAGAGGCGGACACGGGAACAGAGAAAGGAATCATAAAAATGTATGGGGGGAACCAAAATGACCGTGGTCAAGTTCAGTGACAACAGCTACAGAACTACAGGCTGCAGTTGGAAGTGAACCAGGCTCTGCCAAGACGGGGACAGCCTGCTCTCTGCCCCTGCTGTACATTCCACTATCAGGCTGTATATATTTAACTGGTGATTTAAAAGCTCCCAGTGGGTCCTAGGGAGGTCTCTGCCTAAGCCTTGATGCTGTGCCCTCCCCTTGATCCCACGAGGATCAACATTTCACTTTGCACAAGTGGTTCTCACATTTTAGAGGCCCAGCCTCATGGGTTGCTACCGGTAACCAAAACCCTGTTCCGTTTTCAGTTGTTGGCACTGAAAAAATAATGTAAACAGACCCAACAACTTCAAGGACACCAGTGGACTTGTCTTTGGTTTAAGAACAGTCAGGGACGCAGAAGTTGCTGTGAAGAAAAGCAAGAAAGCCAGGCTTCCTGGAATCAAAGCAGGAGCCAGAAAATGGTTTACGGGAACAGAAGCAGAAGCCAACCATCAAAGAGTGAAGCCAGGCGAGGACAGATGGGGTCAACTGTAGCACACTGGATGCCTCCTGTGTGCTTCTGTTATTCACCATACTTTGTGCACAAGGAAAACAAGGCTTTGAGAAATTGACTGGCCCCAAAGCACGCAACTACCAACTGGTTATACAGCAGAAGGCATGGTTTTCACAACTACAGCATGGCACATTTGTGCAACCGTTTGCTGTCTTCTCTTTACACGTGAGCCTGTCACAAAGACCTTCAGGAAGCTATACATGCCTCTCCACTGAGGAAATGAAGCTTAGAAAGCTGAGTCAGGACGCTGAAGGCAGTGCTAAGTGATCAAGGCCTCCTGGTCTAGTGAGCTCTCTGCTGTGCGAACTTAGCTGTGTGAACTTAGCTAGGTCATGCAGCTTCCCCTCTTCTCATCTGGAAATTTCAGAGTTGTTTTGAGGACACACACACAAATTTTGTTAGTCTTACCACTTAAACATTTAAAACATTTTATTACATGGTTTTGTGTGTGTGCATCAAAGAACAATTTATGGGAATCAGTTCTTCCACGTGGCTTCCAGGGATTGAACTCATGTCGCCAGGTTTGGCAGCAAGTGTCTCTACCCCCTGACTCATCTTGTTGGTTCCATTTAAACATTTTAACCAGTACTAAAATTAGGTCTGTAATTCTAAAAGATTCTTTCTACTACGTTAATAGATCTGCTGCTTAAATATTAATTTTACTTTTAAGGAAAGCAAAACATGCTTCCTTATGAAGGATGATGATAATACTTGGAGTTATATTTTAACGCTTGAATTTCTCAGGTGGGTCCTCTTTGAGCTCCACGGCACATTTCCACCTGGCCCTCACAGACGTGAATGACAACCCCCCTCGCCTAGCTAAGGACTACACAGGCCTGTTCTTCTGTCACCCCCTCAGTGGCACTGGGAGCCTCATCTTTGAGGCCACTGATGATGACCAGCAGTCATTTCGGAATCCCCAGTTTACATTCGCCCTTGGCAGAGAAAGCTTACGAAATGACTGGGAAGTTTCCAAAATCAATGGTGAGTTAGCAAATGTACAAGCAGAAAAATCAATGACGGATAAAGGAATTGTGGGGGTTTTTGTTGTTGTTTTTTGTTTTTCTTTTGCCTTGGTGTGCTTTGTAACTCAACACAGAATTTTCTTCTTGTTCTAAGAACGCAGTTCATGCCCCAGAAGCACACAGGACAAGTCTTCAAAGGCCCAGGCTTTGCAGGAAGGGAGGCATCACGTTACACAGTATTGTGGTTGGTGTACACGGACAGAGGGACAATTTGAACATCAGTTGTAAATTTCCAGTGACGCGAAGAAATAGATTTTATAGTATGAAATGCAATTAACACACAGTAAGTTACATTTCACCAACATGTACAACTAACAAGAATTCACACACACACACACACACACACACACACACACACACACACACACACA